TGGTACCTTGGTACCTTTGTCCCAACTTAGATCTTAGGCCTTGTTGAAGTTAGATGCTCTCATGATTTCAATCATAGTGGCCACTTGTGATAGCGTAGGCTGCCCCAGGTGGTTTTCCAGGCTGTAATTTTAACAAGAGCAGTTTTTCAAGTCCTTTTTCTATGAAGCCGCTTGGTGGGTTTAAACTATCGATTAGCAGTTAAGTGATTAATAATTGTACTACCAGGACTCCTTGCTGGTATATTACTATTAACTAAACTTCAGGGTTTATTTGGATTTCACCAGTTTTTCAATTAAGAATCTCTTTTGATCCCAAGATCCAACCCAGAGGGCCACATCATATTTAGCTGTCATGTCTCCTCTGTCTCCGCTTTGCTCCTTGATAGTTTAGCATTCCGTGACCTTGACAGTCTTAAGTAGAAGGCAGTTGTCTCTCATTTTGAGGTTGGCTTTGCTTTTCTCATAATTACACTGGGGCAGTGGGCTTTTGTTATTTTGGGGTGTTTTTTTTTTTAAGAATATCACATCGGGAGTACATGCTAGCCACATGGTGTCACTCCTGATATTGACCTTCATCACTTGGTTAAGGTAGTTAACTAGGTTTCTGTATTGTAAAATTAGTATTTTGTCTTTCCCTACTTTCTATTTTACGAGTCACCAAGTCTAACCTGCCCACAAGGCTGAGGAGTAGGTATAGTTACATTTTATCCCCTGGAGAGGGAATATCAACATATATTATTTGAAATTAATTCATAAGAAAAATTTCTCTCTTCTATTGATTTAATTGGTTGATTGCTTTTAATTGTATTTTATCAAATTTTTATTTCCTAGTAAGACTTATAAAGGGAGCTCTAGTGGCCTAGTGGTAAGAAACTGCACTGAAATCCTATAGGCACGCAGTTCAGATCCACTAGCTGCTCCATGAAAGACTGGTGGGCAGTCTCCTCCAGTAAAATTTACTGCCTCTGAAAAATCAATGGCGGGTCAGCTCTGAGTCACTTCTGACTCAGTGGCACATAGCAACAATAACAATAAAGCTTGTAAGGATTCTGAATGACATAGTTTTGTGTTGGACTACTAACTGAAAGGTCAGTGGTTCAAATCCACTGGTCTTATATTGGTGAAAGATGAGACAGTCTGTACCTGTTGAGATTCTAGCCTCAGAAACCCAGTGGAGAGTTTCCCTGTGCCAGAACTACCTGTACAGCAGTGGGTTGGAAATGTTTATTTTTGGAATAAGACTTAAGAAAGTAACTCCATAAGATTTGGTAGTTATTTCTTTTGGTACTGCTAAATAGCATGCTTATTTTACTTGATGTTATTTCTTGATTCCCCCAGGTATTGTTGTTATATACCATCAAGTTGCTTGCGACTCGTAGCCATCCCGTGTACAACAGCCCTGAACCCTGCTCTATCCTGTACCAACCTTACTGTCTCTGCCACGTTTACCTCCATTATCCCAGTCACTGTATCAATCCATCTCATCAAGGATCTTCTTTTGCACTATCCCTCCACACTTCTAAGTGTGATATCCCTCTCCAAAGACTGGTCGGTCACTCCTTGCAAAATGTCCAAAGTATGTCATACGGAGCCTCAGAATCCTTACCTCCAAGGAGCAGCCTGGTTTCACCCTCTGCACGACAAACCCGTTTGGTCTCCTGAATCAGTCCTCTATCATCCCTATTCATTGTCCAGCTTTCAAACGCATAGCAAGTAAATGTGAAAACTATTGTGTGGGTCAGGTGCACCTTACTCTCCAAATTGATGTCATTGCTCTTCAGCACTCTGGAGAGGTCCTTGACAGCAGACTTGCCCAATGCAATTCCCTCTACCCTCTACTATTTTATATTAGACTGAACCGTATGAAATTGCCAATATGCAAACATTTTACTTTTTTTTAAATCTACAAATATAGCATGTTAATATAATTTAACTTGTTGTTGTTTAGTGCCGTCAAGTTGTAGACGACTCATAGTGACCCTATGAACGAACAGCCTGAGCACTGTTTGTACACAGAGTTTCCGGAGGCAAGCCATTTCGGAAGTGGATGCTGCTCCTGCTTCCAGGCTTGTTTTAGTCGGGAAGCTCCAGCCAACACTGTCCACCATGGGTACCCATTACCACGATTGGCACATCACTGTCACAGTCTTCAGCATCACAGCAACCACGAGTTACCTCTGTACAGCAACGCACAGGCCAGTGCTATACCACCTTCAGCTTGACCTAGTCACCTATTATTGTGACTTCTTACTTCTTGTCCAACTGGATTTGTGTAACATTCCATTTGTTTTGTTGTGAATTTATGATCTGCTTCTCCTCTGACTTAGCTTGAGTTCCCGCCCACCAGTTCAGGTACTGCTGGAGCCTCTTTACCAGCCAGGACATTTTGAGGCCTTAGTGAGAAAGATGTAGTTAGCATCTGCCATGGTAACTGCCTCCATTGTGGATCAGTGCAGAGCTGCCATTCTGCATAGCTGTGGGGCAAAGCCTCGCCCCTGCCTCCTTGGGCTCTGCCTGCTCTACTGATACACTCTTTGGCTGATTGAGCCCCAAATGTATCACCTTGCAAGGTCCATGGCTACTCAGGGTGACTGAGACTGTTTCCTCATCTTAAAGATGATTCAATGTTTAGACAGGCTCCTGTGATGATAGAATGGTAGGTGCTTGTCCCAAGGCTGTCACCATTGTTGATGACAGGAACATCTTCCTAAACTACTCTTATTTCCACCTTTCTGCTCATAGTTTGTTTAGCTGCTCCCATTAACTTTGGGTGAGAGAGACAGAGGTTGGTTGCCTAGATTCCAGGGGCAGCCCAACCTCTCACTTACTCAAAAATCCTAGCCAACTATCTCCCCTGCTCTGGGCCTCAGTGTCCCTGTCTGTGCCTTCTGTGTGCTTGACAGTGATCAGAAACTGGAGGTCTTGGGCAACTTGGGATGGATGGGATTGAAAAAGTAGGGATCTTGGTGTGAATGACCTTAGCAAATCCCTGTTCTTCTCTGAGGTAGTAGCCTGAGCTGTTAGGACTCAGTGACCCAGAATGAAAAAAGCAGGCTGAGTTGGGCGTGGAGATACTGTGATGAGCCAGGGGTCTTAGGGAACCTGTCCCAGCAGAGCTCCCAGTCCAGGGAGGAAATCCAGTAATCAAACCATCACTCAGGTGAATGTGAAATCCCAATCTGAATGACTGTGTGCTACCAAATAGACAAATGTGGCCAAGACCTATCTTGGGGTATAAAGGTGAGCTTCTCCGGAAGTGATCCCTTCTGAGGCTGACAAGTCACAGTTGACCAGATAAAAGGGCAGAGAACATTCCAGGCAGAAGACATAAGTGATCGACAGCAGGAGGAATGAAGCTGAGTGAGGAAGCCCTTAGAGGATTAAGCTGGAAAGTAACATGACCAGGTTTATGTTCTAATTCCTTCTTGCTCTGGGGAGAATGGACGGCAGGGAAAGGTTTTCAAAGTAATGAGGGTAAGGAGACCTTGCACTTGTTTGACAGTGTTCAGAGTGCTGGCCCTGAGGATGAACAGAAGTGATAGAAGAGGTAGAAATGAGAGGAGTGAGTGGCTTATTGAATGAGAATGTGTGTACCTGAGTGAGAAGTGTCAGACAATTTTATGACCTAGACACCCAGATACAAGATGGGGGTATATGATATAACTGGGAGGTGAGTTTAGTGTGGATATGGCTGGGATAATGAAGCCTTTGGATGCAATTACACCAGCCGGTGCTCAGAAGCCAGGGCACGGAAGTTAATCATGGTAGAAAGAGGGAGCATATTGCAGGCAACTTCTGAGGGATCAGCAAAACCTTGCAGGGCTGAGTGGCCCATAAGCAGGTGCCCCTGGGCAGGATCTTCCCAGTGGCTGTTCCTAGGGACAGGCTGGGGCCTTCCTTGATGGGGATGCTAGGCAGAAGCCTTCTTATCCCTCACCTGCCTAGAAAATCACAGGCTCTGGGTTCAGAGGGAGGTGCCTCCTTGCTTCTCACATCCTTTCTTTCCCCTTCCCAGATCCTGCTCATCTCTGATTACTTCTATGCCTTCCTGCGGCGGGAGTACTACCTCACACACGGTCTCTACCTGACCACCAAGGACGGTACGGAAGCCATGCTTGTGCTCAAGTAGGCCTGGAAGAGCTCAAAGCTGCAAAGACTTTTGGTGGGATGGAAAGGCCAGGAGCTCGGCCAAGCCCTCCAGCCAGGGTTGCCAGCAGGCTAGTCCCCAAGCAGATATGGGGTTCCAGTCCAGAATCACAAATTCCTGGCACAGATGGAGGCCATGGCTGGCACCAAGACTTATAGGGAGGAGCCTGACGCACCCCCACTTGGACCCCACTTTGTGGATCTGCACACTACAGAACTCCCTGCCACGCAGGAAAGAGGGAAGAGATGGGGGACAGGGCTTGTTGGGTTGTGGCTACTTAATAAATGTGTTTTGTTATGAAGATGTTTGCTCAGAGACCACAGTACACTGCTATAGAAGGTGGGACAGGCCCCTAATATTGCCATAGGTACATGTATTAGGTACATAAAGCAAAATGTTGGGGGTTCAAACCACCCAGCAGCTGTGGAAGAAAGGCCTGGCACTATGTTTCTTTAAGAATACAGAAAACCCCAGGGGAGCTCTGGTGGCCTAGTGGCAAGAAGCTGCACTGCAATCCCAAAGGCGCACGATTCAAATCCACCAGATGCTCTGCCGGGAAAGGAGAGACAATCTTCTGTACCAGTCAGATCCGATTTGACGGGGTGTGTACGTACATGTACACACACACACACACAATAATAATAATAATAATAATAATAACAACAACAATAATAATAAATACAGAAAACCCCATAAGCAGTTTTGTTTTACATGGGATCACAATGAGTCAGAATTCACTCAACAACAATACTACACACAGGTATGGGTTTCTAATGAGCCCTGACTCCACAGGTAACAAAGCTGGCCCCTCAGCACCCTCCCAGTCCCCAAAGAAAGTATCTTGAGGCAGAGAGCCAGGCAGGCCTGAACAATCTTTATTCTGCAGAGGGACAATGACCAAAGATCCATACACCATTGTCAAGACTGGGGGAGCCAGAGGCCAGTCCTTCAGGGGTGAGCAGGTACAGGCAGGGAACAGTGCCTTGGGCAGGTGAGGGAAAGATGGGCAGACAGGCAGGGGCCTAAAAAAAAGACAAACTGCACAGAGCAGGGGTGTAAGGGAGTTGTTCCCCACTCTCCCCCATCCCAGCCAGCACCCAGAGTGACAACCCTAAAGTGACTGGCCCAGGGTACACCCAGGAGCAGAGGAGGTGTGGTTGGTGTCGTGCTGGCTAGGGGGCCACATCCCTGCCCAGCCCACCTGGGGCACAGGGCACAGGCATCTCAGTTCAGTAGACTGGGGCTCCCTGGGCAGAGCCTGACCAGTGCCCCCCCACTTCCAGGCCAGTCCCCCCTACTGCTGGCTCAGAAGCCGAAGGTTTCCTGGGAGGCGTAGACCATGTAGAGGAAGCCATCATCATCTTTCTCCTGCTCGTAGATGTCAGCGATGGGTGTGGACACGCTCACCATGCTGTGTTGGTTCACCAACAGGAAGAAGGCCTGCGTCGGGTTCAGCTGCAGGCGGCGCCTGGGGGGCAGCAGGGCATGACAGACCCACAAGGTCCCCTCCCCAGTGGCTCTGAGGGTTCTTTCACATCCGCTTACACACCTCCCCAGAGGCTCTCATCTCGGACTCCGCAGTGACCCCAGCCCTGACCTTGGCCTCGGGCCTCCCCTGAACAGGGGTCCAAGTCCGGTCCCGACATGCTGGCCCCCTCCCACGCCCTCTAGAAGGGACCGGGCACGCTGCCCAACCCTGGACCGAGCAAGTGGCGGCGGCTGTCTGCGTACCGGATGATCTTGACCAGCTCGCTCATGTTCACGTGGTCCGGGACCAGAAACTTGGTCTTGTCCAGGACCGGCAGCTGCTTCTCACCTTTGTAGCGTTCGATGATCACCTGCGGGGGGCCAGGGGCGCGTGAACGCGCGGGGGGCCGAGGGGAAGGGCGGGGCCGGGGGTGCGGGCGAGGACAGGCACTCACCGGGATCTTATTGGGGTGCTGGTCGCGGATCTGCTGCACCTCCTTACAGCGGTCGGCTGCGGACGGGGGACGGCAGGCGGTGAGGCTGAACCCCGGCCTCCCCGCCGCCCCGCCCGCTCCCAAGGGGCGGCCCCGGCCCCGCCCCAGGCCACCGCCCACAGGCCGTCCGGCCCCACAGCCCCGGGCACTACAGCGAGGTGGGGAGACGGGGGGGCCCCCGGCCCAGGCCCCAGCCTGCCTCCCAGGCCCTGGCTCCAGCCGGAGCCTGACGTCATGGCCCTGACGTCACCAGCGGCACACGGAGCGGGTCTGGGCCCCGATCCGCCCCAGACCCTCTGCTCACTGACAGCCTCACAGGCCTCACCGAAGCTCCGCCGCTGCTTGAAAGGCCGGTCCGAGGGCATCGCGCGGGCCCGGTGGGGCGCGCAGGCCGGGGCTCCGGGGGGCGTGAGGCGAGGACGTGGGTGCGGTTCCGGGGCTCCGGGGGCTCTCGCCTCGCGTTCAAGGGCTCCGGGGCTCGCGCTGTGCCCGGCGGCGGCTGCTCTCAGAGGTAACTCGCCGCGGTGACGTCAGGTCACAACATTCCTTAAAGGGGAGGCCGGCGCGTCGCTCCCATTGGGCCGACGGAAAACCCGCCCGCCCGGGTCCCTGACGTCACGGCGCAGAGAGCCTGGATCCCCAGCCGGGCGGTGTGAGGGGGCGGGGCTCCGGGAGAGCGTCACAGTCCCGTGACGTCACGGCCCGCGCGCGCAGCTTTCGGGAGATCCGGGCTGGGGTGAGTCGGGAACGCTCCCCAAATGGGCTCCTGTGTGTGGGGCCCAGGGTGAGGAAAGTGGGAAACGCTCCACACACGGGAGACCGTGTGGTGGGCGCGGGGTGAAGAAGGTGGGGAACGTTCCACAAACGGGAGATCGTGTGTGGGGCTCGGGGTGAGGAACAGCCGGGCGAACAGCCGGGCTCGGCCGCCAGTCCGAGGCGGTGGGAGAGCGTGGGCCGGACGGTAACTCAGAACCCACTTATTTCCGCGCGAAGTCATTCGACGGAGGCGTGTCTTTTGCGTTCCATAAACTGCCGTAGATGCTAGAGAACAACAGTGCATCGAAGTCCTATCCTTCTTGGAGTTATGGTGGTTGTTGTCATGTGCCGTCCAGACGCTTGTGTACAAGAGCCGTAAGCGCCGCTCTGTCCTGTGTCAGCCTCTCCGTATCTGGCACACTCACTCCCACCACCCCAGTCACAGAATCGAGGGTCTTCCTCTCCTGTGCCGTCCCTCCACTCTCCCAAACATGACGTCCCTCTCCAAGGACCAGTCCCTCCTTACAAACATGCCCAGAGTGTGTCAGACGAAGCCTCAGAATCCTTGATGCCAAGGAGGAGCCTGACTTCACCCTCTCCAGGACGAACCTGTTCTCCTGGCAGTCCATGGTACATTGAACACTCTTCTCCAGCACCACAGCTCAAAGGCATCAATTCTCTTACAGGGGAAAAAAGGAGGAAGTACGGTGGGAGGAATTGAAATGTGCGCGAGGGACTCAGATCTGTTTGGAGTTCCAGGAAGAATGTGGGAGAAAACTTAAACTGATTGCTGACTTCTCAGCAGCAAATAAAAAAAACAGAAACAAATGTAATGACATTTTCAACTTGTGAGGGGAAAAGACTGTCAAGCAGTAGTTAATACACGATTTAGAAGACTAGGTGATAGAAAGATAATGTTAAGATAAAGGCAGTTTATGCAAAAATAATCGCTGAAGTAATTTTTAAAAGCTGTACTTTACTAACAAGGACAGGGATGAGAAATATGAACACATAAAGCAGAAAACTTGTAAGAAAATCTAACAAACACATACTACAGAACCCTATTATTAATAATAAAAATAGTAATAATAAAGCATCCCAAAACCTTCACCATAGGATTTCCAAGGCTGTAAATATTTATGGAAGGACATCTTCCTCCTGTGGTATGGCGAGTGGTTTTGAACTACCAACTTTACAACAAATAGTCAAACATTTAACTATTGCATCACCAATACTTCTTATAGAATAGTTAAAACAGTGATTCATTTGTGAGCTACAAAACCAAGAAGCATGAAACATTATTTTTAACAGAAGAGGGTACTCAGATACCTTTAAGGATTCTCTTTGAAAAGAGCATAAAAACACTGGCAGATGTCTGGGTTTATAAAGACAAGTGTGTATTAGAAACATTTAAAAGTGACCACTAGATGGGAAAGATCTGGTGTGAAAAACAATGTATACGAACTTTGTAAATAAACAGTATAAAATAAAAACCCCAAAAGTAAATCTTAGATTTCAAGTTAAAAAAACACAGTGAGCACTAAATGAATGATTGAATGAACCACCAAAGTTATTTATAAACTTCCATTCAGATAAAGAGGAAGAAATAAAAATTTTAAAGAAAAGAATACATATATTGGTGGTTGAAACTAGTAAAGGAGAATATAGATGAGAAAGACCCCTCCAAAAAAAAAGTGACCATTAAAAGAATGGATTTGGAATTTATAGCTATCAGTGCTGGAAAGAGTAGTAAAGCATACTAAAAATGTAACAGAAGGCATAAAAAAGGAAGAAAAGTGTATGAAAGATAAGTAAAGCAGCACAAAACCAGTGGTAGGAAATGTGTTTAAAATTAAGCAACTAAAAAAGCAGATTGTTAGATTAACCATGAAAAGTAAATTTCAACTCTATGTTATATAGAAGAGAACACTTAAAACCTTCTGCTCCTGATTACTGTCAGCCATACAGAACCAAGAGGGCAGAATTTGCTCAATTATTGAGCTCAGCTATCTACAGGGGCAAGGGAAAAAGAGGGGTAGAAATGGAAAGAAAAGTCCTCCTATACATAGACCAGAAATCACTTAACAGAACAAGGCATGGTTAAATCAGGGAAGGTGTGCATCAGTATTTTATCCTTTCTCCATACATATTGAGTCTATGCTGAGCAGATCATTTGAGAAGCAGGACTACATGAAGAAGAATGTGGCATTAGCAGTGGAAGAAGAGTCATCAACATTTGTGTTGATCCATAATCAATACCCATGGTAGCAGCAGTCAGGAAATCAAAAGACATACTGCACTGGAGAAGTCTGCTGTCAAGGATCTCTCCAAAGTTCTAAAGAGCAAGGATATCAATTTAAAGACTAAGGTATGCCTGATCCAAGTCATGGTCTTTCAGTTCCTTCCCATACATCTGAAAGTTGGACAATGAAGACCAAAGAAAAATCAATGCCTTTGAGTTGTGTTGATGGAGAGTGTTGTTCCATGGGGTGCCAAAAGAACAAAAATCTATCTTGAAGGAAGTGCAACCAAAGTACTCTTTAGAGGCAAGGATGGTAAAAGGTGATCTCACTTTGGGCATGTTTTCTCTTGGAGAGATTTGCTGGGAAACATGGAAGATCAGAGAAAGAGAGGAAGAATCCCAACAAGATGAACTGACACAGTAAGCTGAAGCATGACAGAGACTGTGTAAATGGTGCAGGTAGGACAGGTCTTGTTCATAGGGTCGTTTGAGTCATAGTCTAGCATCCAAGAAAATTAATCCACTTTCAACAAAATGTTCCTGAGGAAAAGTTGCCCTTTGTTTTACTCATCAGAAATCAGAATTCATCTTGAAATAGTAAGCCATTTCATTCACCTCTATTTATCAGGGGTCATGCACCCTAGATTTTGGAATATCCTTAATATTTTCTTTAAACACCAAAGTTAAAAAAAATCTAGTTCCAGTTGTAGTTGGTTTTCCAGGTGAGTTCCACTAAAAATTTAAAAAAACACACAAAACCACACACACACACACACACCCCAAAAAGCAACAAAATAAACCCAAGCATGCAGCAAACATCATGTTTAATGGTAGGACACCCATGTTGTTAGGTGCTTTTGAGTTGAGTACACCTTACATTGCCCTTTGAACTACCCAACACCATCCTCATCATTTCTGACACACTTGAGGCCATTGCTGCAATTACTGTGTGCATCTTGTTGAGGGTCATCATCTCTTTTGCTGACCCTCCACCTAGTGGCAAGAAGCTACCCGGCAGATGCTGAAGGCTGGCGTTTGTAGTCCATCAGCTGCTCTGTGGGAGAAGAATGGCAATCTCTTCTCATGCAAATAACTGCCTCTGAAAACCCACCAGAAGGTCAGCTGTTGGATTATTAGCTATGGGTCGGTTCCAACTCAGTGGTACACAGCAGCAACATGACCAAAATATATGACAAAATTCACCATTCTTGCCTTCAGAGAGCTTTCTGGTTGCATTTTTTTCCCAAGATTTATTTCTTTTTTGCGTCGTCTGTGTTAGGTCTTAGCGCTGGACGTAAGGCCAAGGACTCAAGGAAGGGACCAGAGAAAGAAAGAAAGCTAAAGAAGCTTTATTAAGGGGTCTCCTGGGTGGGATTCCTGGGTCTGCAGAGAGAGAAACAGGCAGAGGGACAGACCAGGGAAATACTGTGCCCAAAAGTGGATTAGGGCAGGTTTTATAGTGAGAGTCTTTAGGGAGTGAAGAGAGGGACATCCCATTGTGGGTTAGCCAGGTGGGTGGTCTTCTAGGGAGGGAAGGGCAGGACGCTCTGTGGTAGTTGAGGCTGTTCACTCCCTTTGTTGACATGTTGTTATTCCTTGAATCCTTTGTTCTTTCTTTGACCTTGGTTTTGGCCTGACAGTCTATGGGATATGCATTGTTTTTCAACATAACTCAAAGGCATCAATTATTCTGTCATCCTTATCCATTGTCCAGCCCTCAGAAACCTAGCAAGTGATTGACAAGACCATGGTCTGAATTAGGTGTACCCTAGGCTTCAAACTTAACGTCATCTCAAAACAGCCTATTTCAGGGTAAAACAGTGAGCATTCCCTTTAAGTTAGGAACAAAGGATTTCTATTCAGTTTGATATTAAGGACTCAGAGCATGACATGGAAAATAAAACTTAAGAATTGAGCTTTAAGAAAAGGAGCTCTGGTGGCCTAGTGGCAAGAAGATGCAGTGCAACCCCAAAGGCACGCAGAACCCACCAGATGTTTTGCTGGAGAAGGATGGGCAGTTGGATCCAGTTCGACAGTACCCGACAAGGGAAAAAAAAAATTACTAATAAACACATAATTGTTAAGAAAATAATTGGGCAAATAGGGTCAAAGCTTTCTAATTAGCTGTTTGGTCATCACAGAATATGCTTTTTAGGATTTTCTTCTAAGATGGCTACCGTCTAGAGTGTCATACAGGGGTCGCTCACAAGATACTAAACGCTCTTAATAGAGTTAAATGAAGGTTGCTAAGAGGAAAATATGAGGGTGCCTAGGCTATTCATTTGGGTTATGTTCCTGGGCCTTGTGATGTCTTAATTAGCTGTCATGATCTAAGCGGTCTCTGGGGAAAATTTTATTCAACACATCATATAAAGAGGAGAACAAAACGGGAAAGGAAACCGACTCACAGCAACCCTAGCATAATTAAGTAAAAATTTAGTTTTTTCTTGTATTTATTGAAAAGGTCATCTTTGGTATAAGGTATGAAGGTCGTGTTCTTTTGTTAACAGACAGAAATCACTGTAGACTGACTGCAGGGCAAACTT